TTGGTTGATTTGCCCGAAGGTTACAAACCTATCGGTTGCAAATCTATCGGTTGCAAATGGATTTTCAAATTGAAAACCGACAAAGATGGAAATGTATCTATATACAAAGCTAGGTTGGTGGCAAAAGGTTACAGGAAAATTTACGGCGTTGATTATGATGAAACCTTTTCGCCAGTCGCCATGCTTAAGTCAGTCCGGATTATCCTAGCGATTGCTGCATATTATGATTATGAAATATGGCAAATGAATGTCAAAACCGCCTTCCTTAATGGGAATTTGGACGAAACCGTGTATATGACACAGCCGGAAGGTTTTGTTGATCCAAGCAATGCTAGGAAAATATGCAAGCTTAAGAAGTCCATTTATGGACTAAAGCAGGCAAACAGAAGTTGGAATCTGCGATTCGATGAAGCCATTAGTAAGTTTGGTTTTATCAAGAATCCAGATGAGTCTTGTGTTTACAAGAAGGTTAGTGGGAGTGACATCGCATTCCTAGTCTTATATGTCGATGACATATTACTCAATGGAAATAGCACTAAACTGTTAGATAGAGACCGTAAAGGGTTGGATTGGAAAATGTTTTTCAATGAAGGACTTGGGAGAGGCACAATACATATTTGGCATGAAGATCTATAGGGATTGATCTAAAAGGATGATTGGATTGAGCTAAAGTACTTATATTGATAAGGTACTGGCACGATTCAACATGGAAGGGGCCAAGAGAGAGCACCTACCTATGTCACATGGCATAACTCTCAGCAAGAAGCAGTGTCCTCAGACATCTGATGAGCGAGAGAGGATGAGTCAGATTCCATATGCTTCGCTTATTTGATCAATCATGTATGCCATGATATGTACTAGGCCGGATGTATCGTATGCCTTGAGTGCTACGAGCCGATACCAATCAGACCCAGGAGAGGCGCATTGGACTGCAACCAATAATATCCTAAAGTACCTGAAAAGGAACAAGAAAAGTTCCTGGTGTATGGTGGGAGTTATGATTTGGTTGTTGAAGGTTATATTGACGCGAGCTTCCATACTGTCAGAAACGACTCCAAGTCACAGTCAGGGTACATATTCTGCCTGAATGGAGGAGCGTTTAGTTGGAGGAGTGCTAAGCAAAGCACCACTGCAAATTCTGCAACTGAAGTCGAATACTTGGCAGCTTCGGAAGATTCTAAGGAGGCAGTTTGGATTCCTAAGTTCATGAGTGAACCTGATGTTATACCCTCCAACAAGGGTCCAATAGACCTCTATTGTGATAACAATGGAGCTATTGCTAAGGCCAGGGAGCCAAGGGAACATCAGAAGGTCAAACATGTTAAGCGGCGATTTCACATGATAAGGGAATGGAAGTCTGAGGGTTAAATCAGAATTTGTAAGATTGAAATGGACGACAATGTTGAAAGGAATGGTGTACTTCCAACAAGTGTATTATTCCGATAGAGGGTTCGAAATTATTAGAAAGCTAATTCTTCAGTGAGGTCAAGTGATCGGAATGCTTAGGTGGAGGCCGCTTCCAATCAGTAATATTTATGCATAATTAATATTACGACTTAATCTTGACTGAACCCTTCGGGTTGCACCCCAATCGAATAAGGATCCGAATTGACGAATCAATCCGAAGGTGTCAATTTTAATCCACCAAACTATTTAATCCAAAATTGACACCTTCGGATTGATTCGTCAATTCGGATCCGTTATTCGATTGGGGTGCACTAACATAGAAACTAGAATTTCAGAATCATTAATGGACCTGAATCCTAATGGTTGGCATGTATGTCAATTTTTTTTATTAATATTTTAGTTTGGTCAGATGTGATTGTGTTTGGCTATGATAGCATTCGGTTGTCAATGAGAATTTACAACACACCCAAGCATTTTTTCTTTTTTTTTTTTTTTAGATCTTGTTGCTGTACTTTTCCCTAGGTAATATAATTAGGCTTACATTCTTGAATACATGATTAATGGGATACATGAACACATGCAGGGTCCAAGAAGTTGGCAAATGTTGTATGTCTTAGATATTAACTTAGAGAAGAAACAAGGAGAGATAATTACTAGAGGTCATAAAAACTTTGAGCTTATGCTCAATCTACAATTAGGAACCAGGTACTTTTCGCCTCTTTTTGCCCCATTATAATTTTATTTATGGACTACTTTCGATATATTGCAATCATGTCATCCTGTTGATGCTCCTTATTTGGCTCTAGTAAGCTCAAACCTCAACTGTTTCAGTCTTATTGTCTGTCGTTCTTATTTGGCTCTAGTAAGCATTGAGACTAGCTCCTTGACCATAGACATGCAGATTAAGATGAATTTAGTTCAAACATTACTATATTGTGATTATTTTAAGAATGGCGATGTATTATTTTAAAAAAATCATATACAAAGTGGTAAAGGTGATTATTTTTAAATTGTGATTTATATTTATTGTGTCTTATGTGGCTTTTCAAAATTAGTATTCTCCTTCGGATTTCAATGTGGGGTGTGCTTTAGTTAGAGATTCACTCATGTTTAGCCTTAGCTTTATTTTCAATTTGACATCAGTATATCTTTAATTTACCTCATTTAATTTTTTTTTGTTAATCATTATTTGTTGTTTATCTTGCAGCTCTTTCACCAAGACCCTTGTGCTCATTCATTTGAAAATGTTGACGAAATTAGAAATCTGTGGGGCTAAATTCTCTTATACATGTAAATTATTGTTCGTATATACTTGTAAATGTAACTACTAGTAAATTCAATAATTATATAAGTTTATGTAAATTTATCTAATTGTTTGGTTCTGCAATTTTCAATTTTAGTAGAATATAATTACAAAATAATAAATATATATTGTCGAATTATTTAAAAAAAATAAAATAAAGAGACCTGTTATCTGATAAAACAGGTCTCTTTATGGCTCTCAAAGAGACCTGTTGTGTTAAATAACAGGTCCCTTCCCCTTCTTAAATGTATGATGTGTATACATGCAAAGAGACCTGTTACCTTACTTAACAGGTCTCTTATTGATTACAAAGAGACCTGTTCAGTTGAACAGGTTTCTTTAGCAAAGAGACCTGTGAGATAGAGACCTCCTCTAAACAGGTCTCTTATGCTATTTCCAACGGGTCTCTTTGGCCTTTTTTGTAGTAGTGATTGACCCCACAAAGATTGAAGTTTAAAGAGAAAAATCTATCGAGCCTCTATTATATTTTGTCTCCAAGATGCTCCATGCCTCCTTCGCCGTTGTAGCGGCCATGATCGTAGGTAGTATTGTTTCATCTATCCCACGATAAATTATGGAAAGGGCATAATGATCCCTTCTTCATTGGCATATTTAGGTTTCTCATAGTCATCTTGAATAATTTCTCAAATATCTTGGGAGATTAAGATTGATTTCATTTGCATACTCCATTGATCAAATTTCTCCCTCTTAAATATAGGCATCCAATTAACTTGAGGATTAAACATGTTTGTGTTTGTGTTTGATTTTGTGTTTGTATTTGAGATTGTGTTTGAAGAAGGGGAGGCCATTTGTATTTTTTTGGTGGAGTTAATATAATGTTAATATGAAATTTGGAAGACGGATGATAAAAGTGGAGGCTTTGAATTGAATTGGCTCTTGATACCAATTGTTAGAAATTGATGAGTGGAAGTAGTAGTAGGTTCGAAAAGTATGAGCTTTATTGCATGGATAATTGCTTACATTTGCATGGCAAGTCCTAGTATTTATAGTAGTAGTGTATGTCGGTTCTTTCTTCCACCGACAGACTACATAGCTTACTACTAGTCTACTACTACATCTTTCTACTTCTATCTAGAACATTTTAGGTGACATTTATCTAGGACTTTCTAATTTGCTTGATATTTATCCTAGATTTTTTCTTAAGCTTTTTCTAGCACATTCATACAAGATATCTATTAGATATTTCAAGAATTTTCTAAATTAACTTGTTTTTAACAGGTAACAGTAGATGGAGTTTGGAAAAGATCAAAGTATGGGTTAGATCATGCAGGAATAGGATGGAGCATCTCTCATAGAAAGAGTTTTTTGCAAGAAGGTAAGGAGAGAATTAAGGGATGTTCAACTTTACAGTGTGACATAATGGCAATTCGAAGTGGAATAATGGCGAGAAAAAACTGGTCAAACGAGATGGAGGTCAGAACGGATAGTAAATCATGCATAGTTGCACTTCGGAACCCGAAAACTGCACCAAAGGAACTGAAGAACCTAGTGGACGACATACTTGACTTATGCCATGATCTAACCTACTTTTGTTGTTGTTATGTTCCTAGAACCAAGGTTGCTAGAGCCCATACCCTTGCCACAGAGGCAAGAAAGGGGGTTTAGCCAGTCAGGATTTTAACAATGGTAGGGCAGTGTAAAAGAAAAAAAAAATAAAAAATTGAATGTTTGGATGAAAATTAGAACCTATGACTTTTGGTAGACAAGGCAGTGTTCCAACCACAAGGCTATTTGTAAGTTTTAACCCTATAATACACTTTGTATTCTATTTAGATAAATTTTTACTAACTTCTTTTTTTTTTTTTTTTGGTAGGGCCAGGACACAAAGTGGCTCCATGGCTCCGCTACTAGGTCTAGCCTCTACTTTTGTTTCCCTACTGCCAAAAAAAAAATTACTCCCTCCTGTTTTAATAAGTGTTATACTTATTAAATCCGGCCATGTTTTAATAAGTGTTACACTTCCTTTTTTGGCAAAAAGTTTCATTTATAATACGTTGTATATCTTTTTCTTTCATGGTCCCCACCCAAATCTTCTTCTTATTTTTTTATTATTTATTTACTCTTACATTCATTACTTTATAATAAACTATTAACCCTAGTATTTTTCTTTTACAATTTATACTTCGACTACCCCACGAATCTCTTATTTTATTTAAAACAATTAAATTGCTTAAAACTATGTGCCGGTCAAAGTGTAACATTTATTAAAACACAGAGGGAGTAACTTTTTTCAACAAACTAGTGCTTGCTCACAGTAACTAGTGCTAAGTCAAACAAGAAGCCTAATGCATAATAATCAAATTCAAATAATCTTGGGAAAAAAAATGTGGGACATTTCCCAAAGAATTTTAGGTTTTCCAATTACGGCCAAGAAAGCAACAAAATTTTACAAAACACTTGCAACCCAGGCAACACATGAACTTAACAGCTACAAACAAAATCATATACTAGTATATACATTGCGAACATCTACTTAGTAACAACAAACGATTAAGATTGTATAACTGCCTAGGCATGACTGCTCAAACCACGAAAGATCTTATCTGCATGCGCTGCAGGCACATAGACTGCATCCCGTAGCTCACTACGAGTCCTCCCATATAATGCATAAATAAGCACTCCAATTGTCATCCATACAAGCACTCGAACCCAAGTGGCAGCCCTGAAAATCATAAAACAAAGTTGGTATAGAGTGTACAGCATAGCCAGCCAATTGGCCAGATTGGTAAATAACCCTAGCGACAATTTGGTAAAAAAAAGAACTCCAGCAGATTATGGTAAAAATAGTTAACTCGAAGCGATAATTTGGTAAAAAAATAAATCTCAAGCGACGTTTAGGCTAAAATATCTAACTTTTTTTCTGACCAAGTCTTCAAATTTCCTAATTCAATCCGTTATTGTATTTTTTAAAACTATTTTGCCATTTTAAAATTTAAATTAATATGTCATTTTCTTTTTATTTTGCTATATCTCGATATCAAATTTATTTTCAATCCCTTTTTAAAAAAACTAATCGATAATAAGGGGTAGAGAGGTTGTTATATACACCCGGGTGTACCGTACACCCATGAGTATTTATTCTCATTTTGATGATTGTTTTTCATTTTATTATTAAATGAAGAGTAAAAACTAACCTTAGGTTAATTGGGTGCACGGTATACTCGGGTGTATATAACAAATTCTATAAGGGGTATGACACTTAAGTGAAAATTAATATTTAAACAATAATTTTTCTACAAATTGTTAATTTCGAATAAGGGGTTGGAGATTTAGGAACGAAAGCCACGAAAAACGAACTAAATTAAGCATTTGACGTACACATACCACACACAATTATGAATGGTACTCATGCTTGGGGTTGAGATGAATTATCGTGGCACTTGACGTACAATTACACGCACTCATTAGCAAGCTCAATTTATGATCTTGCACCAAATGGTCCATAGTAATGCATGTTGAATGAACTAGCAGACATTTCAGGTAGAATTAAAGGAGGTAATGTTAAAATACACTCACCCAAGATTCACCAGCAAATACATGTTGATGAGAATGGAAGCAACAGGTAGCACAGGAATCAATGGACAGATGAAACCTGAAACAATTAAAAGTACATGCCATAAGTGCACAATAAAATTCTTCAACGAGAGCTAAATCCCTGACTAGTGGTGAGTTGAGTGTTGACAGATTAAAATAAAAAATAATCCCCTCAATAGCAAGGTTATAGTACCTCCTGTGTGACCAAAGCTGTGCCTCGCGTCATCTTGATTAATACATGAGATAACTATCAAACTGGATATAAGAAGTGCAACGCCCACCACAAATAATGTGAAGCAGGGTATACTGGAGAAAAAAGCACCCAATTAAGATTACAATAACATCAATTTCATATGTATTTCAGTTAATATATTACTGGTCCAAACATTGCAATTAGCCTTTTTTTTTCCTTTTATTATAATCTTTTTAATATATCATTTTATGCAAAACAAATAGGGGCACAGCCCTAGACAATGAAGTTTTCATGTACAACTCTCATGTTCCACCATATAAGCCCTAGGCCCTTGTTATAGAAAGTACACGGGATGAATCCATTCAACAAAGCTTTAAATGAATTTTTATCACATTTGTAGCATATTCATACCAGTACCACCACTTGATATAAAAGCACTAGCTTTTGCTCAAGAATTATCTACCTTAACTACACATCTCACACATTAAGAATTTAGAGTGCCTTTAATGATCCTCTTTTCTCATTTGGGAGTGTTGGGTCCAGATGCAAACGAAGAATGAAGTGTAAGAGACTAAGAGGTGCAAGTAGATTAAGGAAAGAAGACATTTTGGCTGGTTTGTTGTTGACTTGTAAGCTGCATCCTGGATTGCACGATATTTGTTGATTTTGCTGATAATTTTTTTACAAATGGCAGCCCAAGGACATGATGGGGTTTTGCAATCTAAACCTTCCATATCAAGCATAGACATCTTGTTGATAATGTATAACTAATTTTTTTTATCAATCATGTATACAAAAGGAGGCATGTGTACAAGAAATATTTATCAAAGCAGTAGATCTAAAATCATTAACTGAAAAGCAACAATCGTAAGAGAAATTCCAAGATAATGCCATGTAAGTTAATAGAATGGCATACAGGTTACCTTATCCCTCTAATCATTATTATGAAGCCTTTAAACATTGAAGGATAAGTGAATTGCCTACATCTTTGTTATGCTACAGAGAAAGACTAATAAACCATATTCAATATGTCAAACCTCACGCCCCCAATTCCAAATTACAAACCTGGTAAGCCCCACATATGAAGCTGCAATTGTGAGGAGAAACGCCCCCAGACATGTAAGCATTATGGCCCAACCAGCAATTTTCCGCCTCTTCTCATCATGTGCATGTGAAATAGCTGCAATTACAAATGAAAATATTAGCAGCAACCATGAGATTTAATTATAAATTGATACTGCTGCCTAAATTTGTCTATACTACTTTATATTTGCTAAATATTGCAATACTTCCCTTTTTGGTAACTTTTACAGCTTTACTCATACTTGGCTGAAGCAAGAGCTAAGCTCAACTGCTTATTAATGCCATGTTAATGGCAATTATAGCAAGAATAGAAAGATAGAGAAATTGAATTCTTTTACGGATTCTTACAATGACTAAATGAGTCTTTATCCTTTTTTTTTTCTCTGGAAGATGAGTGTTTCTCCTCTATATAAACAAGTATCAGTTAAAAGACTTAAAACCAATCATAAGAACTCTTCTAACAAACAATTGCTGGAATTCAGGGACATAGACAGTCAAAACAGAATACCAAGATGTCTGTTGCTAAATTTTGGTGCTAAAAACAGTTTGGCTTCTCTGTTTAACTCCCTTACATATCTGTTATCATTGGTCCACTTATTCTTCCTCACCCCTTTCCTATCTTCCTTAAAATATATTTTTATTGTATAATCACATGGGTTAGGAGCCCAAAAACAAAACCGTGCGGACTTGACCCAAAGCGGACAATATTGTACAAGTGTGTGTATGTTTGTATGAGCAAGCATTGGCGGCCCGACAATTGGTATTAGAGCCCAGGTTTTTTTAAGGCTTTGATTGATTGATTGATTGAATCACATGGGTTAGCAACCCACTTGTTTTCTCTCTCCTATTGCGTAAACTATTGAGCCAACACATGTGTTGCAATTTTAGTGTAACGAAGGAAGTATTTAATAATTATGTTAATGTTATGAAGCTTGTTTCCATAGCCAAAGGTTTAACATGAGAATAACCTTACTACCTTCAAGAGGGGCACCAATATTGAACTGTCCTTTTCTTCTCTTTGGAATAAAATATTTGGTTATCAAAATTATTAAGGTCTTCAGTCTTACTAATTTTGAGAAAATTCTAAATTGAAGAAGGATATTCTAAGCTTACTACTGCATTCCGCTGACTGCTTCAAAATAAGAGGATGGCCAGCAGATAAGTTCCCATGGTGATGTAGCGGTTGAATTTCATAGTTGGAGGTGCCAACTTGCTTTTCTGTACTTTCCCCATCAAACTCCTCAACGATAGCACTATAATCCCATGAAGCCACACATGTTGACTCCAGAAGCGATGATGGAAGTGGCACCTCATCCGGGGGAACATATCTAACTATAAGTATAGATATGGCAACAATAGTGAAAGACAAAAGAGTACCTACACTAACCTGCATAGACGATATATATCAGGCACTCCAAATAACATAAAAAAATAACTTATTCCAGTTCTGTATGTGAACCAACAAAAAGCATCTAAAACACTTTCAGTCTCTTAAAGAGCTCGAAGGATCTCCAGTGTTATCTATAACACCACCATATTTCTTAAACAAAATTGTGTCTGACATTTATCCTTTTACTCTATTCCCTCCTCTTCCGACTTCTTATCTTCCAAAACCCCAAATAAAGGGGGTGAATAAAGAAACTCTCTCAAATTTAGTACCTAGTAACTCTAATATACTCTCACCATGGTTATTAATTTTTCATGATTACACATGCTCCACATCACAAGTCAATATTAAGCAAACGACATGATGAAGGAGAAGAATGGAAATATACTCTCTGAAAAGCTGAATTTGTCAAGATTTCTACCAAATTAAACAAGATCAAATGAAGTCTGCAAAATGATCTCAATTCATCCTCAAAACTATCCAATGTTGCACCAACTGCATGTTTTAATTAAACAAACATAATAAATTACGAGCAAAGTAGTAATCAATCTGATCATGATCTGCATTGCCACAATGCCACAGTATTTTGGTTTGGTTAGGGCAGTTGGGAAGCGGAAAAGGTGGAGTGCCCCTATTTTTCAACTGCTATGAGAGTGGGAACAGTTGTACTAAAAAAGAAAAAGGAAAACTTTTATCACCATTGAATTGAAAGCAACCGTGTGTTTGGTTTCTAAATCAGGAAATAAAGTTCTCAATATTTTATTTATTTTTTTTATAAATTTCTGCAGAAGAAATATGCATCTTTAGGCCCTACTTAGATGCCTAAACAACTCCTAATATTCAACCTCCTTATACATTTCTTTCTTTCTTTCCTTTAGGAACTCATAGCCTGAGGGAAAAGAGGAAACAGCAGTACATTATAGCGTGCACAATCTCAGAGTGGGCTGCGCTGACTATGTCAGCTTCTATAAGCCCTTCTTGGAAATATTTAGCTTTAACATCCCCTATTCCATTCATTAGAGCATATTTGCGAGTTAAGTGAACACCAAGAAACATACTTCCTTCCAAGCAAAAGGCTATAACCTTAAGAGATACTGAACATATTTGTCGCCTTATCCACTAAAAATTATCATACAAATTTGGACTGAGAACAGCAGCTATAGCAACACAAGTATCATTAAGTTTTAACATAACCAGATATGAAATACTGAAAAGTAAAGAATGAGTCTTATCATTTATCATTTCACCATCTCACTCTTGCGATAAATGAAATCCTTCAAGTTGTATAATTTTAGGAATTAAAACATCATAAAGAAAAATAACAATAAACATGTGACAAAGGGGGAAAAATTGATTGTTCTACCTAGAAACATCTGCTAAGCTGATATAGAAAGCTGTAAATTTATACCATTCCTGCCAGCTGTGAAACATCCATGAAGAATGCTAATATTGCAGCAAAAGCTCCAGTTACAATTGTACCCTTCACAGGAACTTGTGTATGTGGATTAATGTCTGAGAAAAATGAGGGTAATAAGCCATCTCTAGCCATCGCCATGAGGACTCGAGGCTTTACAAAAGAAGAATCCATATATATGTTAATATGTAAGTCAAGCGAAAAGGATATCTCCATTCACAACTAATTTTACCAAACATCTATTTTAAGAATATCAAATTTTTGAAATTTTTGCGCATATAAATTGGAGATATTTATGTTTTAAGGAGTACCTTGGGGACTATGAAAACACAGACGATGCAAATAATTAGGGACAAAAGGAGTAGCCATTTTATTGAATTTCCAGCATCTACTTACACGTGATAATTTTGAAGCGTTTTATAGTCACATCAATCATCCTAGATAAAGCAATCTAACAATTGAGCTAATCAATAATTGAATTTACCGTAATAGTTTAAGTACTTCTTGTGTTCTTTTTTGTTCTACTCACTATCCATTTTTGGCTGTTCTTTTTAGTTCTACTCACTTTATTTTTATTTATGGTATAACCCTTTTACTATCTTACCCCTTCAACCCCAAATAATTACATCTTCATACTCTCTCTCTTAACTTTATTCACCTTTTTCTTACACAAATCCACCTTTTTACATTCTCTCTCTTACTTAAATTTACTTTTTCTTACACCCACTAGCGTTCTTCAATATTTTCTAAAATTGCGTATTTATAATAACTTAGTAGAACATAAAAGAACGGAGAAAGTATTTATCTTCTGATATCACCCACAATTCTTGTTGTGGCCATTGCAGCAGGATTGACCTAAATGAGTCAAAGTAAAATATATAAACTTTTTTTACGCACTGAGCCTAATAATTCCTGTTACATTTTTCAACTACTTGTGGTAATTAGAAATAACCTGAAAGCCTCTTTATTCAAAGAGAATACGCCACATTCATACATTATCAATTAATATATTTTCTAGGAGACAACCTCAGTTATAGGGATTAGTCGAAAAACTGTAGATTTTTCAAAAAATTTGTGAAGTAACCTTGTCAACTAGTGTTCTTTTAATAAGAACCTCTCACATGTAAAATCATCCATCACTTGGATAATTTTCTATGTCTAAAATAACCTTGATGATAATGACAGTGTAATGTCAGCTATCTCTCCCTTTAGCTCTCTCTCTTTCTCTGACTTCCTCAGTTCTCTTCCTCTTTAGCATATTCCCTCTCCAAACAATCACCATTCATTATTTTTTTTTTTTTACATCCAAAAAGTAACCACATCACCTTGGTTGATCAATGATCCTAATAAATGAAAGCTATATTTAGGGTAAAAAAATGTAAATGTTCAGGGTTATCCTAGACAACATACCAATTTCCTTCTCTTTTCTAATATCTATGATGTTTTTTTTTTTTAAACTAAATATACGGGTTTATCGGAATTGAACAATTTATTTTAAACAGGTTTTTAATTGCAAAATGCAAACAAGATAAACTTTTTTTGGAGGCATGCATTATTTTTAAGCAATTGATAATCCCCCCCCCCCTCCCGAAAAGGAAAAACAGCTTAATAATTTATATTATTTTTGATGATTGGAGTAACCACAAGAGCATCATCTCTTCAGCTCGTTGAATTTGACTAAAACAATTTTCTATGATGTATCATATAACTTTACCTGTGGAAGAAATGAACCCAACAGAGACGCAAAGAGGGCTGTTGATGCTCCAATCGTGATTATATACCTGTACATACATCCACATAAAACTTATTAATGCATTCAATCCAAAGTCAACTATAATGGAACAGTGATTTCCCAAAAATTGCGTAACAAGTAAACACGCATGGAACGGGTTATGATAGCTTACGCTGCCCATTGCATCCCTTGACTAGAAAATGCAGAGGAAATAGGAGTGTCCGGGTCAAGTTCATAATACGGTATCAGACCAACAACAACGACAGAAACCAGCATGTACAATGCACAGCATATTAACAATGAAAAGGCTATACCCAACGGTAGATCTCGCTTTGGATTTTTCACCTACAAGGTGAAAGCTAAAAGTGAACAGAAATTCATCAAAATGGGAGTAGAATCAAGTCAATGATTAACTTCAAACAGAATAATTGATCAGAAATGAATAACATATACCTCCTCAGCAGCACTAGCAACAGCATCAAAACCAATATAAGAGAAGAATACTGTGGCAGAGCCAGAAAGCACTCCATTAATGCCAAAAGGAAAGTACCTAGATATAGAAGGAAATTAAACAATCAATGGACTACTAATTTACTATCACAAGGCAATTTACAATCATCCCAATATACAAACCATGGTCCAAGATCGTTACCCTTTGGGAAGCTCATAGCCAACCCATCCAGTTTTGAAACCTAAGTATCCCCCAGCAATTATAATAAAAAGCATAGCACAGACATTTGCCGATGTCACAACAGCTTGTGCAAACGCACTCTGCAACATCAAGTGCCAGTAAATTATAAAAGATATAGGGAAATCCCAACAAAGACGAATGAAAAGTACTTCATTAAAGGTAAAAGGATAATGAACAATGGAAAGCAGTACCTCTTTAATACCAAAACACAACAGCACGGTGACAATAATAATAAGAATTGCTGCACAAGGGTCAACGACAACATCAAGAGCAAGAATATATTGACGACTCAGATAAGAAGGCAGCCTATCACTGCTGCCAAGGAGCAAGACCTGATTAAAAAAAAAAGGGCAATAACCAATGAGAACAGCCATTTTAAAGTACAGAATGCATAAATAAAGCAAAGGAACTTTATTTAGCTCCCACTAATGAAGCATTGATTGTTTGAACTACCCATATAGATAAATTTCAAGCTACTATTGATCAAGGAGATCAAAGCATAATTGGGCATATCTTCAGCATATTGAGAGTGCAGAAAGTGTCGTTCTTCATTGTTATATTTTATAAAATATTAGAAAGAAACTGAAGAGAGACAGATTTCTGTTTATCCCTGTAAGCATAATTTTGAAGAGAGAGAGAGAGAAAAAAAAAAATCATTATTCCTTTCCAATACTTGCCAATCTAAACGCAAAATGTAACTTTAAACTCAAGAGCAACAGTCAAGCACCCAAAAGCATTTGAAGTAATAATGTGTGTCAGTGTGTGTTAATTGAACAAGAAGTATGGAGGAAAAAAATTGCAAAAAAAATAAAATAAAATAAATAAATTAATAAATCTGACAGCATGATCAAAGAGCTTGGTAAGCATGACAAGAAGATTTTTGAGTACTTTACCAGATTTGGAGATATGCCACGGGCGATTGCAGCTCCCCCAATTGTATACTCTAGCATCAAAGCCCAGCCAATCAACCATGCAACCCTGCAGGTTGATGAAAGTTATAGTGAATAATATGCATAAGAAGTTTATTTCTGGCACAGTATAGTAGTTAGGTTAAGACGTAAAAGATTACTAATTCAAAAAACTTTAATTTGAAATTGCTTGTAAGAGATCTACCAGCCTCCTTTGAAGTTGTATTCAAAACAAACTTAATGAAAAAACAAAAATTATTAAGTAAACACTAACTTACTGCACAAGGAGCACATAATAATAAAGAGACTTACCCTTCTCCAACACATACATAAGAGTAATGATAGGCGCTGCCAGCAGAAGGACACCGACTGGCAAGCTCTGCATAACAAAATGCAGAGAGTGCAGCAGCTATACCAGCAAATAGAAAGGATAGAGTCAGGGCCGGTCCAGTATCCTCTCTGGCGACTGTACCAATAAGTATATAAACTCCGGCTCCAATGGTTGTGCCAATTCCTGAGTATCCAACAAATTAGTTAACAGAAATAAATACACAATAAAGTGCACCCATATAACTAGTATACCATTGACATACACAAATAAATGAAGATGAGTTGGATACAAGCACAATAAACCAATTGATCAGGCAATTTAAGCTATAATATGGTGGATGGTGATAAATGATTACAATGTTAAATTTACTCAAGCTTTGAGTATCAATATAGTAACCTATATTCCGAACTCTTAATAAAATATGAGTATATGAAACTTGGACAAATAAATATTAAATAAACCTGTCAAAAATCGTCACACCACCAAGATTCGGTATTGACTATAACTTGGCAAATTAAACCCAAATGTATCCAAAGTTCTAGACCCATACATCCCAAAACTGTTTGTGATCCAAAACAATTAAATTCAATGCAATGAAGTGAAACTTATGAGAACATTTCAGCAGGAAAAAATCAAAAAATTAAATAATTCATCCTTTATTATCACTGGATTAAGCATGATTTTTATTGGACTTAAACAGTTAAACATCATTTGTAATACTATATGGTTAGATTTGGCTATAAATGACTGCTTATCATGACTTGCTATTTGGAAACAATAGAACGTCCAAAGTCTTGAACAAGCATTGCTTGACCCAAACCTTAAATCATCCGACTAAAATGACCTCGCCTGAAGTTATTCCACTCGAACCCTGACCCTAACGACCTATTTGATAAATGTACAAATTAGTATTGTAACTGAACTCAAAATCAATTGCTAAGGGTCTATTTAGCATCACCGTGGTTTGCTGCTTTTTGGTTTTTTGTTTTGTAAAAACATATAATATATGTCATATAATGAATTTAAAAATGGTCAAACTTATTAAAATCATGATAATTTTGAAAATTGACAAAAGAAAATTGAAAACACCTTTTTCTTGTTTCCTGTTTTGGTTTTTAACGATGCCAAACAAAAAAAATGAATAACGATGCCAAACAAGCCATAAGAAATTAATTTTGAGTTCAGACATAAGTAAAATAGCAAAATTCAGCCTTGAATCAAAACTCGAAATCAATCTTTGTGCCCAAATTCGAGTAACTAGGTCATGAGTTAATGGTTTAATAGATTTTTTTTTTTTTTTTGGAACAAATTAATGGTTTAATAGATACTTTCTCCATTTTATTTCAGTTGACATATTCCTTTAGAAATGGTTGTCAATGCATGATTTCAAACATAATATCTTCACTTAATCACTTAATAGACAAAATTATACGTAGTAAATTTATACATTGACACGAGTCTAACAAAGCCCCACATGACTATGATTGTTCAATTTCAAACATGTTAACTAAGTAAGAAGAAACCGAGAAAGTTTAAAGTATCCCAAAAAGGCCAAAACTAGGTTGATAAGTTAATGTTCTTATATACGAAGTATAAACTACATTTACTGCACTAAAAGAAACTTTGCTAATCTGAATCAAAACTTAAAAATAAATTAATTGGCAAAATTTGCTCTTATAATAATAACAACAATTAACACCCTGATCAACAAAATGATACTCCATCAAAAATCACAGCAAAATAAACCCAGTAAAACTAAACGCAAATGAGATTAAAATACATCCTGCAAACTCTAAATATAAATAAATAGATAAATAAATAAGAAGGAATTTTACCAATGGCGGTGATATGAGGAACAGATAAAGCTCTAGCAAGCTGTGGTTGGCCACTTGTAGAAGAAGAAGAATTGTGATGAACAGAATCAACTTGTTTTCTTCTAATCAAACATTTAAACCATTTCCCTGCATAATCCATCTTATCTATTTTATACAAAATTAATTATGCTCATACAATTATCAATCAAATTAATTAGTACCCAATATCTTTTCCAAATTTAAGGTTTAATAAATGAAGGAATTCAAGTGATAAATTGATAGTTTTGGTGTGCCGCCATTGGAGAATTCTTTAACTCGAATGCAGGTTTTTAGTAGTAAAATGCTACTTCCCTTAGAAGTATAAAAATAAATAAATACATAAAAAATAAATTATTAAAAAATAAGTTTTTTCTAAGGTATGCCCCAAAGTTATTGAATTCTAAGCTTTATCCGTGCTTTTTCAAAATTATAAGTTGTGTCCTCCACCTCACGATATTTTATCAACAATATCATTTGACAGTCATATCCGTTAACAGACGTTAAGTGGCGTTATTAATTTGACACGTGTCATGTTCTAATTGATCTAACACTTTAAAAAAAAATAAAAAAAATCAGAAAATAAAATAATTAAAACTTAATCAAGAATTAATTAGAAAAAAAAACCAACCACCCCTCCCACCACCACAACCCAACCCATCAGCCCACGTCGTCGCCGCCAGCAACCGGATGCCCACCCTCGCCCAGACAATTTCTCCCGCCGGCAAGCCCCCGCCCTTTCCCCCTCGCCCTCCTTCCTTCCTTAACACTCCACGAACACAACCACGTGACGCAACCCAGCCCAAAAAACCAACCACCCTCATTCCCCCGTTAAACCACCACGAAACAGCCAACAACCCGGCGAGTGCCGTTCAGCTGGTTTAGATGGTTAAGGTGGAGTGCCGGCCGGTTTTCGGGCGAGTTTAGGGGAGGGGTTAGGGTTTGGCGGTGGGGGAAGGTGGCTGGGGAAATTTTGTTTTTTTTTTATTTTTTTTTAAATGTTATTTATTTATTTATTTATTGTTTTTTTTTTGTTATTTTTTTGTTATTTTTTTTTTGTTATTATTTTTTTTAATTAAAAGATTTTAGTATGCCACTTACCATTCTCTAACGTCCGTTAACTATTGTGGCTGTTAAAGGTTATTGTTGATAAAATAACGTGAGGTGGAGGTCACAGCTTATAGCTTTGAAAAAGCATGGGTACAACTGAGAAATTCAATAACTTGAGGGGCATAGCTTAGAAAAACCCAATAAAAAAAACTAAATTAAAATAAGTTTGTTAGTTTGTTTGTGATGTGTTGGTGTTTATTTGAGTTTATCAGGGTATAAAAGGAAAATACAAATTTATCAACTTGAAATAAACAATTATTAGCATAAAAAAAAATTAAAATAATTTTCTCAAAACTATTCATAAAAATTAAACAAATATAATATAAAGGTAAATGTGTAAATAAATTTTTTAAGAAATATAATTGTCTCTATTCTATTCATAAGTTTTTAGCCATACTTTCAAAAAGGTATTTGAGGCTTTGAGCTATATTTTCTTTGGGTTTAGGTCTTTAAAGTTTGTAAATTAAAAAAAGGTTCTTTAGATTTAAATAATATAATAAGTTTTGAAATAAGTCGGACTTCATATTTAATTATTTTATTAAAAGACGGTTAATTTGAACGTAACTTCAACAATTTTTATAATAATATAAGGGTAACTTTCAATACTTTTAGGATAAATTTAACCCATCTTATAGTTAATAAAAGTCAACCTTATTCAAGATTTTATGTAAACAATATGTTCTTTGTACTTGAATAAACATATTCTTATGAGTCATGTTCGTTTGCTTTAATCCTCTAAGAAGGTTCATGTTCTTTAAATTTAACCTTTAAGTTATTGAGGAACGCGCGTTTTATGAATTAAAGGATGCCTGATTTACAATAGGTACAAGGTGGACAATCCAATTTTTGTCTTTTCAAAACAAAAGGATAACATACAAAATTCAAAAGAGTCAAATTTTGGATAAGAAAGCAAGATGGAATTGAGATACACGAATCTTGCCACTTGATAACAAAATCAATGTGGTCGATAACTATGCAGCTCTTGTACACAACAAGATGCGGGGAAACATATACTTGTACAAGCTACTCAAAATAACTAAAAAAAAAAATTTAAAATATACTAAAATACAATTATTAAACTACAAACCAAATAGAGAATGCTGGGAAAGATCAACAATTTAAAACCAAATGCGAGAATGCTGCCATCAGAGTATTCCGCTGATTTTTGAGCAGCAGCACCAAGTGCAGACGTGCAGTCCTTCCCTAAACAAACTGAGAGATGGAACGTCATTAGAAGAGAGAAATCAAGGAACAGTAGCGATAATTAAAACAATAATGAAAAAATAGCATTAGTTACTGCATCACGGATAAAAAGCAACCCTTGAAAAACAGATTGACGAAGGGTGTAACCAGCCACCCCTTTCCCCGAGACGATTAATCATACAGGGTATAACCACAGGAAGGTATAACTATCGAGTCAGCTACTCCAATCTCTTTTTTTTCAACTATCTAAGGGTTCTTTCCTGATACTTTGTGAAACAGAGTATAGGAATTTGATGCAGAGACATTGATCAGTCACTTATATTATAGAGTTCATGTGAAAAAACAGGACCAGAACCAGGTTACACATTATCTGAAAAGCATATTTTATCCACATGAGCAGATTCCAACTTATATCAATCCCTTCAACCCAAACACAAAACACACTCTGATAATCTAATTGAGACTGGATGATTTTCTACCTTCTCAAAAATATTTACTCATCTATCACTGTTGTCAACTCAAGAATTAACCTTTTTCTTAGGAAAACCAATTGGGGTCTTTGATTTACTCCTTCCGTCTCACAAAAAACTTCTCATATCTCTTTTATGCTCATCCCACAAAAAACTTCTTATATCTCTTTAATGCTCACCCCACTAAAAACTACTTATTTGATTTCCCCTTGAATTGGATCCACTTAATATACTACTCCGTAATGTTTAACTTTCCCTCCTATCTTTATTTATTCATATACTCTCTACTCCATTAAAGGCATTACAATCTAAGTTTTTTAGAAGTATCTTTGACTTGGGACTTCATGTGCAAGCGAATGTTTAGCTGAAATCGAAAATATATGTAAAAGTTCTGTTATCAGAGTGGCATTTATTGATAAATTACGGTCTAGGAATATAGATGTTAGTGAACCTAGCTACAGATCATCTCTTTCGTCATGGTGATTCTGCATCCACAAAATGGGACTACAAGGCTGATGCTTCGACTCCTTCCATAAAATGGATCCAAGACAAAGATTGCACCTGTTTATTCAGAAATCAGGATGGTCATGAGTGTACTACAGTTATCTTCTTCATCATAACTTTATGGAGTACATTAACAGCTAAGTAGTAGTTGGTTTTTAAAGGCTATCAACCATATTTCTTGGGTACAATGGCCATAATTTATAATTATTGAGAACCCAGTAAAAGTTTATGCTGCTACGAGATTTGTTTTCTTCAACATTAGAATCAAGGATTCACCATTCACTTGAGTTTTCATTGCAGCTAATTAGGAGCTCACAAATTAGGTTGCCCACAAATTGAGGTTGAAGTATTCTGGTTCATATAAGTGGGACACTAAGATTGGAGTAGTTATAGATATTAAGCTTTCCTTACAGGTGATTGTATAGAAGGATATCAAAGATTTGACACTACCATACACTGTCTACACTTCTGCCTGCCTATGGAGTTTAATTTGGGATAAAGAGCGGAATTGTACTCATGCCTGATTATGTAATTCTGCTATTTGGTCAAAACTCATCTGTATTGCAAAAAAATTAGAGTGGAAATCATTGTTATTAAACAGACACCATGGGTTGGTAGTTTTCAACGGTGTTGTATTAGGAAAGTACCCTGTAAATATGCTCACATAACTCATGAGTTAGCAAGCCAATACAACACACATTACACAACATTTTCCTTTTATTGATTAGAAATTTCATTCAATACCCCGATGTAATAAAAGATACTTCATGTCATTTACCAACCGCTTTTTCTAACATTTTAGTCAATTAAGGCAATCACTTGTAAAAATATTAAATCATCACCCCCCTCCCCCCCCCCCCCCAACTCCCCCGCATCTTTCAATTTCCTCCCACCCACCTAAAACTCAATTCTTGCAAGACATTTGTGTATTATAAACAGAAAACTGTCATGACAATAATGACAACCATCTATATATTGTAAAGCATTTGGATAAGAGAAACAAAGAGTAAATAGAACTCAAGCCTAAGCAATCAACTACAAGAAATAAAGTATTAAAGCATTATTAAAATGTGTAAACAGGGAAATCAAAAAGGAAGCCACAAATTAAGCTTACTAACCTGAGGTGTAATTGAGATCTTTTAGGAACATTCCATGAGCTGCCTTTTGGATTTACTTTGCACAGTAGAATGAAAGATCAGTGTTTAGCTGCTTTAACATGACAATTTGACCAAAACTCATTTCGTAAATACATTGATTGCTAATAAATTCTGCACAAAAATGAAAGCATAGGATCACCAACAATAGAACATAAATGCTTCTGGTTTTTTTTTTTTTTTTTTTTTTTTTTTGGAGAATATGTGATCACTTATTTGATACTCCTTTCATTCCAAATAATTGTCTTTTAAGGTTATGCACACAAACAAGTCAGGTAATACTGTAATAAAATTCAAAATTGACGTGTAATCTTGCATTGGTATCTTTAAACAGAGAAGTGAAATACTACCTCAGTTACATATTATGTACAAGTTTTGGGTATTATTTGTGAGATATAAAATGTTCAAAAGTTCACATAATATGTAACAGAGGTATTACATAGATATTATAAGAAACAAATATGGAATTAAAAAAGAGATGTGGACAGATAGTATTGAAAGGAGATATAAAAATACTAAAGGGTAAAGTTTAATTCAATCAAGCCAAGTTGTATGCGGTATGCCAGCACAAATCCCAATTCAGTAAACACTCGTCTGTCCCCAACAACAGTACCTCACCCTATGCTGTCTAAAGTTCCATTTCTGATTACTGAAGTTGAAAGCATAATTTAGCTTGCATGCATAAAAAAGCAGGACAGAATGGCAAAACATACAAGGACCCACACATGCATTCATCTTCGAAATTAAAACATCGCTTTATAACACGTTTTAGCTAGAATTGGATAAATAGAATGTAGTCAAATGTAGGATTAATGTTAACTTATGACAATTCCACAGGAATCCATAATCAGAATACTAAAAAGGATTAAATCAAAATTGTATGCAATAACATCATCTTCTTGCTAAGCACAGTTGAGTCCATACAAAATAAAAAGTGATGTAAAAATTCATCGATTAGCTACTACAATAATTGGCATAAGCAAGTCTATGAATCCAACAGGGTAACCTCACACTACATCAGACATTTAAAGAGGATTAAAGGGACAAAGACAAAGAGTTCTTACATAGGTTATATGTTATTGATCCCCAAAACTTAAGACATCCATTGACTCAAAGCAGGCTAAGATTACATAAGTAGAGGACTAAGAGGCAGGAGCGCAAAATAATGCAAAACAAAAGGCTGTCAATCACACTATACAGCATATGAAGTTAAAAGCACAAGGTAACGACCCTATAAAACAGCACTAAGTTCTAAATTAGAATGCTCCTACTTTTTCTGTGGGATATCCAGTACATAATGCTTAGCAATAGTTTGCCACTTTGCCTTATGATATGCATAACAATACACTATAGTATTTAAACTACCACAGTGCTGTGATGTGTGTGCTACCCAGAGTGTAAATAAATAAGCATCTTTAACACAATCAAGCAATTTGATAGGTAAACACATTGGATCTTCCCTTACAATGGGGCTTTAGCATTTTAATCAACTTGTGACTAGAAAACACCATGCTAAAAATTTAAAACAGTAATGATCAATAACTTTACCTTCAAGATAATGAATACCACTATCTATATGGACATTCCCAAATTGTTGGAGAGCAAAATAATTCACAACTCCATAGAAAAGAGAAATACAGGTTTGAATAAAGACATTACATATCTTCATCATCATAATCATCAATCTCAGAATCTGACTCATCTGTTCTAGATCCCATTAAAGATTTCATGTCAAATGTGGGCTCTGGCTCCATCTCCTCCATGTCAATTGATTCATAACTCATTCTTCGATCAAACTTCTCATCTGAACAATTCAAAAGCCATGAAAGGGAGCATTTCAATCCTTTTTTCGCAACTTGCTGATGCCTTGGCTTTATTGTGGACTCCAAACCGTACGTGAAGAAGGCGGGGAAATCAACCAAGTCATCCAAAGGCCTTGACATTTCCACTTGAAAGTAATCAAAATTCAGCTTCATTATATCCAGATTCAGTGCAAGCAACTGTGGATATCCGACAACCATCTTTTTAATCTGCTGTAAAGAGAAACCACAAAGTTTGAGAAAATCTACATGCTTCACTATTGCTGTTTTACTAAGACTTATAGCCTGTGGCATCCTCTCTATGATTTGCCCAAAGTCCTCAGAACTAAGATCAAGGATAGTATTGAATGATGTTTGTTGTGCCGAAAGCTTGGACTTGAGATCAATCCCAATAATCTCGGGATATTGAGCAATCATTACAGCAAGTGACTTTTCTCTGACATTAAATTCTAGAAGACATCCAACATTTGGTTTTACCCTCTCTTCTAAGTCGAAACCAATGATGTGAGGCCTTTTCTCAATCAATCTAGCAACAGCTAAGCTTGGAATGCCTAGACTTCCAAGATAGTCAACAAAAGGTTTGATGACACGGCCTACTCTCATTCCTAAAATCTCTGGGTATTTCGTCAAAATCCCACCAATTTCTCTTCTACCAACCCCAATCCCAACCAAATATGCAACAGATGTGCTCATGGTCCCTTCAAGCTTAAACCCTAATAGCTCTGGATATCTCTCGAGAACACGAGGAATATCAGGTTGTTTGATATCCATTCCTTGCAGATACTTAACTACAGGCTGAAGATCCACAACAACGCTAGCATGAAGTACTTGTGGGTACCGTCTTAAAAACTCAGTGACTCTAGATTTCCGAACACCTAGTTTTCCAAGGTAATCTAGCACCGGAATCATATTCTTCTTCACACTGCACCCAAGTACAAGCGGATAATTATTAATATCCTCAATCGTAAGCCCCAATTTGTGGAGGAAATCCACGCGTTCCCTCATAACATCAACCGTAACAGGCAGTTCTAAGCCATCAAGTTCATCAGGTACAACACCAATCCCTCTCAAAAACTCGTAAACCTGGGCACGATTCTCCATTCTCTGCTGCTTCATATCACTTAAACTAGGACGTAAATACAACGACGATGCACCCTCTTCTTTCTTCTTCACCCGGCCCGAGTATGGTTTCGCAGCTCGGGAGCTAGAATAAGATCTTTCAGCAACCGAGTGCTGAAATCTAACCTTAAACCCAGGTTTATTGGTTGATGAATTACATGGTAATGGAAGGAAATGTACTTTTCCAAGCCTCAAAGTTGGCAAATCCAATTGTATTAGTAAGAAACTAGGTTTGGCAATACCAGTACAACCTCTAATATTCATGTTTTTGTACAACACACAAATTCAGTTTAATCTGCAAATATAACAAGAATTCAAATTCTTCCCTAAAATGCATAGATAATATACATTTGAAACAATTCCCATTTTATGAAATAAATTCGCCATTGTTGTATTAAATTTAATTCATGCTTGCCAATGTAAATATGAATGAATGAATTAAAAAGAGATAAGAATTGAAAGAATAAAAGATAAAGATTATATACCTAGGAGAGTGATTCAATTCAATTTCTGAAATAAAATTGAGATTGACCCAAAATTATTTCCTCGTAATTTAATTGTCAAAACCTGGAAAATAGTGAGAAAGGAGGGTGGATTACCTTAGCGCTTTCTCGTTTAGCTGGTTGTTCTACGGAGTAACGGAGTAGTGGGAAATGGTAGTGGCAACTGGCAAGTGGGAGTACACTCTCAACTTAGATGGAGGAAGTCTTATATTGGGGTGATTCGGACTAAAAGTAAATCGAATAAGTAATTTGGTTTGGATTAGATCGGTTAGGAAAAATCTAAAAATATGGATTATGGTTTGGATTCGGTTTGGGGTTTATAAAAATTGAAAACTGAATTACAAATCGAAATTTCAATCCATTATATTAAATCCATTTTCTTTTACAAAGTGTCCCAACTCCTTTCCCCTTTCTTATATGAACCAAAATAAAAAGAAAATATATAAATAAATAAAATAATAATAATTATAAAAAAAATCCTAATTCCCAACTCTCCTTTCTTAGTTTCTCACTCTCTCACAGAAAATGTCTTTAACAAGAAAAGGTTGATTGAAGGAATTTTCTAGGTGAAGTTTAGGTTTCGGATTTGAATGTATAGTGATAGACCCTCCATTCCTCGTGGATCGACTTGGACTTGCCCCTATACTAAGAGTAGGTTTGGTTTATGAATTTTGTTGACTTGGGAAGGCTAGCCTGACGACTCTAGTTTCACTCTTTTGTCAAATGGGGTCGTTGCCGGGGAATGACGTAGTTGTTTGCTATAGTGTTGAGTCTATTTCATCTTATTTGAAAAACACAAAAAGATTTTCCTCTTTTAGCTACACTTGTAGCCGTGCTACTAATATTTTCATTGAGGTTATTGCATGCATAGTACTCGTGCTCGCTCACTTGTTCCTCTAGATCCAAAAATCGAAAGAACAATCTCTAGACTATGAGTTGTTTTCAAGATCTTTGAGCCCCAATTCATTAAGAGAAGAAGAGCAACAAGAAGAAGAACAAGCAAGCATGGGTGACAATCCAAGAGTTGCCTTGAAAGAGTTAGGTATTCCCGGTGCTTATAGGTTTCAAAGCGGCATTGCACCACCTACAACTCCCGCCAATGACTTTGAGATCCGACCGGCCACGATAATGTTGATTGAACGAAGACAATTTAGTGGAGCTAAACATGAGAGCCCCCTAAATCATCTTAAGGAGCTTGAGAAGCATTGTAACACAATCAAGGTCAATGGTGTGAATCAAGAGTTCATTCGCCTAAAGCTCTTCCCCTTCTCACTAATAGGGAGGGCTTTAGAATGGTTGGACAAGGAGGTGAAGCCAAATTCGTTGAGAACTTGGAATGAGGTCACTAAGGAATTCCTATCTAGATTCTACTCCCAAAAGAAGACGGCGGAAGCTAGGGCTCTTATTCAAAGCTTCAAGCAAAAGCCCAATGAGAGTCTCTATGAAGCTTGGGAGAGGTACAAGGAGTACAAAGAGAGTGCCCTCATCATGGGATCCCAACTTATCAAGTGATTCAAATCTTCTATGGAGGCTTGAGCCCTCAAGGCAAGTCTTGTCTCGATGCGGTCGCCGGAGGCCCTATTATGAATCGAACAGGAGGAAGAAGTTGTTGATATCATTGAAGATGTAGTGAGGCACTACATGGATTGGCAAGATGGTGAGAGGGAGTCAACAAGTAAGAGTAGCTCCTCGGTCTACTCCGCCGATCATCTAAATGCCATCAACAATTTGTCTTCACAAATATCAAGCATAGGGAAAGAGATGTCTTCTATCAAAGCTAAGTTGGAGAGTTCTGATTAGGAGCCTGCCACGTGTCAAGCAATGATCCGTCCACTATGGACCAATTACGACACGACACGTGTCCTTCCCATGACACCTGGGATAACCGGTCACCTAGGCCCAACTTCCGAGGGAAGCCCAATCAGCCCAAGGTTAACCTAAACCTAGATTGACACGTTTCCCGAGGTTATAAATACCTCCCTTAATCCTCATTAAGGGAGATTACGCTAAAAACGCAGATTACACACATTAAACACTCTCACCTAGAGAGACCCAATCACTTTAATTTCCGCATTAATTACTCCTTAATCAAGTACTAACTTGACCGTCGGAGGCGGATCTCCAATCATCCGGAGCATCCGTTTGTTTTGCAGGTACAGGCGTCCGGTTCCAGTCTCGGAATTGTAACCCCAACTGAGACATTGTAGAATAAGCTAAACTTATCTTCCCGCAGGACATCAGAAAACCCCGAAACATCTTGGCGCCGTCTGTGGAGAGAGTACTTCTGAGATGGCATTCACGACCCTCTAGTTCAGTCGGACCACGATACTGAGAATGAATTTGAAGTTGCAGCTCACACAGCTTCAGATGGGACCCTAAGGGCCCGACGTACCCGTCATACCGAAAGGAGGGAACGGGAACATCTTCAAACTGGAAGCGAGCCAGCAGGCGCACCGCCTGTTCGGCAGCAGCCGACTGATGGGTCTGCTCCCATCACAAGGAACGAACTCATGACCTTCATGAGGGACTTCAAGGGAGAAATTCAAGAGTTGATCAACAAGAAGCCGCCTGCTCTGGACAAGGAGCAGTCGGCTAAGAAACCCTCCACTTCACGGAAGAGGAAACCAGTTCAAGGGCGAGAGGCGACCCCTCATCCTAAATCTAGGAAGTGGGAGCCACCTGCCCTTGATTTTCACAAAATACCGTTTTCCTACTCCAGGAAATAGGAAACCTGTTCGTCATATTCAGGCGGACGGGTCGAGGAAAACATACACAGACGCTCGGCTACTGCTAGAGCAGAAGAAGAGTGACCGATTGTCAAAGTCGGCCTCTACTTCAAACTTCCAAGACAGTCTGCGAAATACCTCGATGAGGCATACTCAGTCGTATCATGAGAGTCAGTCAGGCGACACCTCCCGTCAGTCCGGCTTTCATAGCGACCAGGCGGTACCAAAATTACCGTTTGTACCGCAACAACAGTATTTTTTACAGCCACCTCCGTTTGGTGGACATGCAGCAAAAAATGTCCAACCTATGGACTGACAGCTACGGTTGCTTAGACTTGGTGAACAGCCTTCGGCCTTCTCCAAGGAAATTACTGAAGCCGCTCAGCCGGCCAAAGTGAAAAATGTATTAGTGGGCGCCTATGACGGCACTACTAACCCAGAAGACCATCTGATGGCATTCACCAACCTGATGTACCTTCAAGGGTTGGATGATCCCACTTGGTGCAAGTGTTTCCCAGCGACTCTCAAAGGAATCGCACAACAATGGTTCGGCAACCTGCCGACTGGTTGTGTAAATAACTTCAAGACGCTTGCTTACTTATTCACCTCCAACTTCGCCATGAACATCCCTGCGAAGAAGACGACCCTTGATTTAGGAACAATTCAGCAGGGCGAGAAGGAGGGGCTTCGTTCTTACATCAGGCGGTTTAACCTGATGAGAATACAGATTCAAGGGTTACCGGATGAAGTAGCCTATACTGACTTTTTCAGAGGTCTCAAAGACGGGTCGACCTTCAAATTTGATTTGGTCCGAAAGAGGGTGGCGACTCTTCAAGAGGCCTTGATTGAAGCGGAAGCCTATATACAGGCGACTGATCTTTGTAGTACGGTAAAACAGTTAGACGGGAAAAGGTCCGACAAAAGAGAAGGACGACAGAAGCAGTCGTCAAACAAAGACGAGAAGAGAAAAGAGGTCTGGGCAACTGATTCCTCTAAACAGTCGTCCCAGAAGAAGAAAAAAGAATTCAAACCATACTCCCCAAAGTATGTGTTTAACAAGGATAGCCAATTTATCCTAAAGGAAATCAAGGGACGGATCTCAATTGAGAAGCCGGTCCCCATGCAGGGTTCTGCAAACAATCGGAACCAAGAAAAATTTTGTGATTATCATGAAGATGTTGGTCATCACACCAATGAATGCATCAGTCTCATGCGGTATCTGGACCGCCTGGCTGAGCAAGGTGATCTTGACACTTATGTCAAGAAATCTACGGGGAACACTTCCTCAAAAAAGCAGTCGACCAAAAAGAATCAACAGGCCGACAGCTCCGATACAGATGATGCAGTCGTCTACACCATTGCAGGCGGCTTCTCAGGAGGCGGCCCCACTATTAGGGGCAACAAAGACAATATCAGACGGCTAGATGTAAATTCCGTTCACCAAGAACGGACCTCCAAATATTCATTTCCTGAGATTGTCATTACTGAAGAAGATCTAGGAGGGGTAAGAGGGCCGCATGACGACCCTATCGTTATTGAATGTAAAGTGGCCAACCAGAGAGTTGGCCGAATCCTCATAGATACCGGAAGCTCCTCAGATCTCATCAGTAGCAAATGTCTGTCGAAACTAAAATATCAGACTGATTGCATACATCCGGCATCCCACCCTTTAGTAGGGTTTGGAGGAGGATTCGTCCACCCAGTGGGACGAGTGGATTTACCCATCCGCCTGGGCGAAAAAGGGGAAGGACGACACATGATAGTCCGGTTCCTGGTAGTAGAAGAACTCTCGGCCTACAACATGATTCTGGGACGACCAACCCTGAATAATTCCAAGGCTGTTATAATCCCATCTCTTATGTTGCTCAAGTTTGAGAGGGATAATGGAACAGTCGGGTCCCTAAGGGGAGATCAGAGGATGGCCCGAGAGTGCTATCTCTCGGATGTCAAGCCACTGTTATGGCCACTGGGTCGAGTGGTGGAAAAATAGACCTTGACAATGTCAAGGAGAGTGCGCCTGTTCAAGAAGCAGGCGGCAAGAAGAGAAAGGCATCCCAGACAGGGGCCGCAAGAAAAGACATAAAATAGCAATCATTAGCAGAGGAGCGGTCGGATGAATTCCGCCCTCAGCCAGCTGGTGAGCATACGGACCTGATGTTAGATGACTCGCGTCCTGACAGAACAATCAAGGTTGGGACGACTTCTCTAAGGGACCTAGGTGACGACTTTCACAAACTATTGAAAGAATACAAGGACATCTTTGCATTCGAAGTCCATGAAATGCCAGGCATTAGTCCTGATCTGGCGGTACATAAACTGGCCGTGGATCCGAAAAAGAAGCCGGTACGGCAGAAGAAGCGGAACCATGGCGAAGAAAGAAGTCAGGCGGCAGCCGCCGAAGTTAAAAAATTACTTGATGCAGGGTTCATTCGGCAATGTTACTTCCCAGACTGGGTTGCAAATGTGGTGCTTGTTAAAAAGCCGAATGGCACCTGGCGAATGTGTGTAGACTACACAGACTTAAACAAGGCGTGCCCCAAAGACAGTTACCCTCTGCCTAAAATTGATAACCTGGTCGACTCAACAGCCGGCCATGCTTTGATGAGCTTTATGGACGCCTACTCTGGTTTCCATCAAATTCCTTTATGGAAGAAAGATCAGGAGAAGACGACCTTCGTCACTGATCAGGGGTTATACTGTTACACGGTCATGCCGTTTGGTCTTAAGAATGCCCCGGCCACTTTCCAGCGAATGATAAACACTGTGTTCTTTGATCAAATTGGGAGAAATGTCGAGGCATATATTGATGATATGATTGTCAAGTCTAAACTTCAGAAAGATCATCTGTCGGACCTCCGAGAAACTTTCGCCACACTCAGGCGGCACCATG